TTTAACACGAATATTTCGTCCACTCCTGTGGACTTCATCAGCGTGAGTGATATACATTAGAGATACTTAGCTACAAGTTGCCTGAAATTTAATTGGCCTATCAACAAAGCATGGGCGGTACTAAAACTTAATGTGAAATAAACAAAAATAGTAAATAAGAATTAACTAGAGAGCTGAGTTGTTATCTAAAGTAAGAAAGCTTACTAGCAAAGACAATGTCTTAATGCTGAGTATAGATAAACAAGGAATGAGAAAGCAGATAATGGCTGTTCCCACGATATGCTGACTGTGAGGGGATGGCTTCTAAACAAATAGAGAAATAGGATATAAGCAGGAAATGGAAAATTATAAATAGGTAAAATAAAGCATTATATGGATAAAAATATGGAACAGAAATATAAAATATGATATAAAATAATTATATAGTGAAGTCTGTAGTATAGTCAAAATAAATATACAGGAAATGAAATAGGGCTGGAGTAAACAAAGTATAGGCTTGCTTAATTAATATCTTTGATGAATGTATATTCACTAACAAAGCCCATGTCCTTATTAGGACCTTTTTTGTGGGTTTTTAGGCGAAAAATCCAACGGATTTCCGCACTACGTCTTTCTTTGGTAGATATGAAATTACTTTGTAGAATAATAAATCGCATGTCACTGGCATTATGGTTAGGTAGACTGAAATGAGCTGCAACAGATTTGCTCATGTCTTTGCGTCTAATAGTGCATTTGTGATTATTAAGTCTCGCCCTGATTTTGGTACCCGTTTCACCTATGTAGTTTCCATGGTTACACTTAATACAATAGATGAGATAAATAACGTTAGAAGCATGGCAGTCTAGGTTGGGGGGGGGGGGGGTGTACGATTTCCGTGGATCCTGGTATTTTGAATCTATGTCCTGTAGTGATTATATTACATAATTGACATCTAATATCTTTACATGTTTTGTTACCTGTGTTTGTGGAAAGGTGGTCAGTTGGTATTTTAGATGATGTTATGAGCGATTTAAGATTGGGGGATTGTCTGTGTGCGATTATGGGTGGTTTGTAATAAAGTTGGGCGATTGATGGGTCTGATTTGAGTATTTTGTAATCAGTTTTAATGGCATCTGTAAATGGTTTGGTGAGAGGATTATAGTCTAATATAAGTGGTATGCAGTTGCTGTTAGGCATTTCGT